GGGGGGGAACCAGACTTCCAGTTGGCAGAGGAAAAAGGATGCCACGCTAGGAGGAGACTCTATGGTAGGGGAATTGAACTTCCAGTCGGCTCCAGAATTGAACGGGGGCTTCCGGTTGGACCTTTGTGGCTCTGAGTGTTTAAGTTTGCCGACACCTGCACTTGCCCCACTAGTAATTGTGTTTTTAAAATGCTGTTTTGTAGCACATGTGAGCAAGACCTGATGGTTCTCAATGAAGCCCAAACCCTGAGGAGTACAGGTAATCCTCGTCTTACAACCAATAATTCAGCCCAAAATTTCTGTTATTAAGCAAGACATTTGTAAAGCGAATTTTGCCCCATTTTACAACCTTCCTTGCCGCCGTTGTTAAGTGATTCCCTGCAGTTGCTATATTAGTAATGTGGTTGTTAAGTGAATCAGGCTTGCCCATTGACTTTGGTTATCAGAAAGGTACAAAAGGTGATCACATGACCCTGGGACCCTACAACCGTCATAAATATGAGTCAGTTGCTAAGCATCTGAATTTTGATCACGTGACCATGGGGATGCTGCAATGATCATAAGTGTGAAAAAATAGTTGCCAATCACTTTTTTCAGTCTTCTTGTAACTTTGAATGGCCACTTAAAGTGAAGTGTTGTAAGTCGAGGACTACCTGTATGTGCCAGCAGTGCTGACACCCATGGAAAATGGACAGGGCTTTGATCGTGAGCCCCGTCTTGGCTTTTTTTCAACCTCTGCAGATACGATGCACATGTGTCATTGTTGACAAGATTAATGATGAGGGTTTCACTTCCCCTTCCATAAGCACCACGCTTAGCCTTGCTGTAAGCAACATATTCAACACAATGCAGAACTTTTTAGATAAATAAGTTGGCATCCACGAATTGTGACCTTGTTGAGAGGTCTACCTTTTTAGCTTATTCTCCCTGAGGACTGAAATCATACAATGTTTATTCCAAAGATAATTTAAAACTGCTTACAATTGGTCCACAGAACAATTATGGGACATGATCATCCTTATGTTTTGGGTCTACCCAGTGGTGGGATTGAAAAATGTTTGGTTCTGCGGGCGTGGCTTTATGGGCGTGGCAGGGGAAGGATACTGCAAAATCTCCATTCCCTCCCCACCCCACTAACCTGCTTTCCAGCTCCGTTCCCCTGTTCAGGGCAACAAAAGAAGATTGGCTGGGAGGCAGGCAGCCTATTTGCCAGTTTTCCAAACTATTCAAAATTTCCGCTACCAGTTCTCCAGAACCGTGACCCGTCAAAACCGCGGTCCACAAAAGCGCGCTCGACGAAAGCGCGCATTTGATGTCATCACAGCGCGACAAAAAAAATAAAAAAATTAAAAAAT